CCGCTGCACATCTCCTCGGAATCCTTGCCAGTGACCCCGGCAGGCAGCCCCGTTCCCTGCGCGAGCCTCACCGCTGCCGAGGCTGAAGAGCAAGGCTTCCGGCGCTCGCTGGCCGGGCGTCTCTGGCTGCGAGCTTTCCGGCGGCTGATTCCCGGCTCGAGCGCTCACGGGAGAGCTCTCTGGGGGACTCGGCCCTGGAAGCTCTTGCAAGGGATGAAGTTCATCCATGCCTCATGTGAAGCCACCATACAAAAAGACTGAGTCCCTTTGGGCATGTGCAGAGTTCCTCCCCATACCATGCAGCAACCTTGCCCAGGCCACGCAGAACGGGGGCGGAGGGCGAAGGGTGCCAGGGAAGCCCAGCCGAGAAAAAGTGCACGGATGCTGCCGAGTCGACACTGACGTCTCCCGACTCTGCCAAGGGGCCAAAGCGCCGGCTCCCGTTTCTCACCAGACGTTTCCTAGGCAGCGTTGCCATCGCCCCCCCTCCAATTGCCCCCCCACCAAATCCACCTCCCGTCTGTTTGCCTTCTGTTCCTTGTGCTCAGCCCTGTGCAGGGAGTGAGCCGAGCCGAGGAAGTCCATGAGCGCCTGCAGAGCACTCGCCGTGCAACCGGCAACCATCTTCCACAGCACATGCCGCGTGAAGGCCGCACGTCTCGTGTGGGGGGGAGGGATGCCGCTGAGCCTGCGTTGGTGCTGCCTGCTAACTGGTGACCCCCCCCCCCCATGAATGCCCAGCACCCTCGGGGCCGAGTCGGGCTCAGCCCTGAGAAAGGAGGCTGGAGTGTGGGGAACCTGTCCATGGGCAGCAGCATGAAAATGCCAGCCCAGCGCACGTCTACCGTGGAAAGGGCATGATTAGGGCTCAGAGGAGGCAGGATGTGCCCTAACGGAGCCAAGCTCAGGGAACCAAGGTTCCGTTTTAATGCCGGGAAGCACTTCCTGACAGTCAGGACCCCGAGGGTGTGGAATGGGCTTCCACGGGAGGTCGTTGAGGCCCCATCGGTGCGGGTGTTCAAGGATAGGCTGGACATGCACATGGTGGGCATGTCATGAGTGGAGCCGGCTAGAGCCGGGGGTCAGACTAGATGGCCCGGGAGACCCCTTCTGACTCGCTCTGTTTCTGTGTTTCTATGATTAGGAAAGGAACTGAAAATGGGGCTGCCAAGATCCAACGGCCCTTACAGGAACCTTTGGCCAGACGGCACTTGGAATGCCGTGCGCAGGTCTGGTTTGCCCCCAGAGAGGCACCGGGGTGGGGGTGCTTATTGCCAAGCTGGGAAAAGGGCAACTAACATGATTAAAGGGTGGGAGGAGCTTTCTCACGAGGAAAAGTTACGCATCTGGGATTCGTGAGCTTAGAAAAGAGGCAAACGGGGAGACCGGGGGTGGGGGGAGCAGGACCGTGCCTCCTGCACGGAAGGTGCACCCGGAGGCATTTTGCTCCCTCTTGCATAATGCTAGGGCCCGGGGTGCTGCGTCCCTGGAAGCTGCGCGGTGGGAGACTCCGAACAGGCAAACGGAAGTGCTTCTTGGCACAGCAGAATTCCCCGTCGCGGAATACGGCAGTGCCCCCAGCGCATGTGCCGTGGACGGGGCCTGGCAAATCCGCGGAGGAGGAGGAGGATGTGGCCTCTCGCCAATGGCCACCTGCTGCTTCCAGGCCGGAGTGGACAGTGGCTTGGGCTGGTCTCCCCATTCGTGTCCGACTTTCTTAGCGCCAACACGCATTCCGGGTTCCCATTTCTTTTTCAGGAAGGAGAGTGCAGAACACCGCGCCCCTCTCCCTTCACAGTGCTGGCGGCGAGTTCCTGGGTCGCCCTGGCCGCCCTTCTCCGAGCTACCCCGGCTGATGCAGGGCCTCCTTCGTGTGGGTGCCCAGGGCTGGGGGCAGGATTCAGGGTGAGGTCTGATCGGAGCACGTCGCACGTCCCACGATTTAGCAACTTTACTTCTGCAGGTGCGACCTAAACCGGCTCTTTCCTGCAGCCACATCACACTGCCGGCACGGCTGCGGCGTGTGAACACCTCTGACTTCAAGATCCTTTTCATGCGTGTGACTGTCAAGGCAAGCTTCTCCCCTGCGCCCGCCCATTATAGCGGGCGGCGCTCCCGATTCCTCTCTTCTCAGTGAAAAGCTTCTCAGTGAAAAGCTCAGTGAGAGCCAGTGTGTTGCAGTGGTTAAGTGCATGGGACTGGGCCTGGGACTC